GGGACTTGATCCGGAGCTCTGGATCCGGGTCTGGATCGGGATGTGCGCTCGCCCTTCTTCCGGACCTCTCATATTGAGCGGTAGCCATATCTCATGGTATCTGCTCACGCCATTCAAATCCAGGTATTTGAGCTGTTCCGGCCGTCCTGCGAACCTGGCATGGCATGTTCTGTGCGAACGTTTCCGTTACACAGTCCTTCAGCGTAGGCAACATCTCCTGCACGGCGCCAAACGTCGTCCAGCCTGCTTGCGGCTACATGTTGAAGCAACTGGCCCAGGCAGCCCACGCCCGATGGAATGTGACATCCATTTCAAGTACTCATGCTGGTACATGCTGAGCTCGGTGCTGGAGATCAGAACTACAAAGGGCACCCACAGCGTGAAGACCTCCAGCTGCAGCTATCCTTCAGCATTACCTCTGCAATTGCAACATGCTGGGAGCTTCACGCCCCAAATAGCAGCAAGACCAGCCCAGTTCCAACCAGCAGAGTTCATCTCCTCTTCCTTAATTTGCGTCGGTGAACGACACGGAACGATGAGCAGTATAACGGACCGGTTGCTAGTTGGTCTTCAGCTTTGGCTATAGAATGTCTCCTACAAAATGCTCTTGAAAGCTTATCAGCATCCACACTCAAGCAGAGGACAGGCTCTCTATTCCTGGAACTGGATGCCCTTGCGCTACAAATGCTACAGCCCTTCGACTCTCCCTGGTGTGTCTCACAACACGGCCTTTCCATGCAGACAGAGAGATAGAGAGAGAGAGAGAGAGAGAGGGGCAAACGACTATCGAAAGGTGCTCGCTTGTTGACAAGCATTCTGATCCAGGCTGTTGTGTGAACAGCTGCTAATGAACGCCGAAGGCGCGGCCAGGTTGGCGTAGATCCTTGGCCACATGCATTTGCACAGTTGCCTTTTCGACCTCACCTTGGCATGCCGAATTGAGCCATGCCTCAAATCATTTGGATCCGGAGCAGTTGTCATACGGAAGTCGGTGACATCTCGCGTATACTGCTCCTGACTGGGAGCTGCTCAGGCTTTTGAGAGCTCACATGGCGTGAGGCATCTCTTCGCTGTCCCGTGAAGCAAGTCGCTGCGACAGCTCGTTCGTGAAGGTCACGAAGCCCGTGGACGAGCATGCCACAGGATCTCCTTTCAGAGAGTGCAATCACCACAGAGCTGCCAGGAAGGCTTATTGTTCCAGAAAGAAGTAACAGGTCCGAACTCTCGTCATCCCTCTGGCTCTTATCATTGTCCGCGCAGGTCCTCGCGAGACGCCCTCGTCAAGCCGGGCGTGCGCTTGCGCAACTTCCTGCATGAGCGTCTGCTCACGCCTCAACGGCCAAGGTTGATGGGCTTGACCACTCAACTTGTCTCAGGCGTAGGCCCCAACCATGCCAATCATAATGAGTCAAATGAAAATCCAAAGCGCTTTTCGCATCTTGCCAAAACCAGGCTTTCTGACGACGTCCGCTCAGGGCGCCCGGCCTCCTGCAGCTCCGCTGCTGACGAACGTATGAATGAGTATGCAACTGCCTCCCAGCGCTGCTTAGCATGGAGCAGATCCAGACGGGCTCGCTTCAAGGCAGACACCTGTACCGGAGGCGCTGATGTCTGTGCAATTTCTGGAAAGTTGAAGCAAGTTGAAGCATGCCAGGCAGCACTGGCCTGGTATGACAAGCGGCCTCTGCAAGCAAGTCTTGCACAGGCTGCTTTACCGCTGACTTTGGCTTACGAAGGCTGGAATCTGAGAAAACTGTTTGAAGTGTATGTGACATGCTCCGGCTTTGCGACGGGCGCTGACCCCTGGCGCCTGTGTGCCGAACAACATAGGCTCTCTCAATGACGTCCTCACTGAAGAGGTTCACAAAGTACTGCTTCAGTGCAGTGTCCGAACGATATCTTGAAGGAATGTTCCTGGAGAGTCAAATCTTGGAAGTGGGCAACACATCAGCAACTTAATGCGAACACTTCAGAGGAAGAAACACGTCTGAGATTGCAAGGGGCAAAGCAGCACTCAACAAGACTGATGAAGGACCATTTTAACATACACAAAGTCATTTCAACATGTATGCAACCTCTAGGTACCGCTATTCCAGCAAGCACTTAAGCACCTTGGAATGCATACGCTGCTTGGCATTCTACAGCCTATCTGCCAAGACAAGACGGCTGCCAATAGATTCAACATTCGCCCATCACAGGCACAACCCAAGTAGAGCAATGCAAGAGATGTGCTGATGCATTTGTTTGTTCTTGCATGCTGCCGCTCCTGATCAGCACAGTCTTTGCTCGCGGAAATGGGATTTCCTCAGCACAGCAAATTGAAGCAAGCCGGAGCATGACTTTATGCTCTTGGCCTTCAGCCACTGGTAGCGACGCTCCGTGAAGTGCTCCTCAGGTCAGCAAAGCCTGCTTGTCCGCAGATGCTGCGACGGCTTGCGAAGATTTCAGGCAAAAAATCTAATCCAAACAATGGCACAACGACCCATACGTCCTGAGTGCGTGTTATCGTCCACGCACTAACGCACACCACGAACCAGACCATTGCAGCATGGACCTTGTGACCGGGCAGCAATCTGTGCAAGGGTAGGAGGGCAACGGGTCAACAGGCAAGATCGGGCAAGAAAGAGTTGTTTAGACCCGGGCCCACAACATCCAATCTGGAAGTGGATCTCTGCCGATATCAAACTTGCTGAGTATGTCCAGCTCGTATTGTGACTCCCGATGCGCCTTGCATTCGCTGGGTACATGGTTTGATATCCCACCAATGTCCCATGCCACTTGGACTTCCGTGAGCTACCGTCTACTATGTCCTCCCCTTGTTGTGTGGATGCTCTTCAGGGCATACCAAGAGGCCTCGTAGTGCATGGGCAAGAGCACTGCGCAAAGCACCGGGCCTTACAAGAGCGATTGGAGAATCGGATGAAAGAACGGTGGCTTGGCCATGGTTTGCGCCTATGACCGAAAAGATTCGCCAATTCAGCCGCCGGAATTCCAGGAAGGCCCAGCCATCCAAGCCAGCCTGTGAAACCTCAAGGGGATAAACGCTGACTGTATGAGCTCGAACAGGCGTGCCCTAAGACTGCAAGAGAAGGTGAGAGAGCAAGGCAATCCAATCCACTTCTGATGCTGCTCGGCGTCGCGCCAATTTCAGACATGTGTTATCATACTTCATGCTTAAATAGGTGCAGATGCGTTTAGGCAAGCATGCACTGTGGTCAGCAATGGTATGCGGGCCCGTCATGCATCGTCATGCCTCAAGAAGATACAATAGCATGAAGAGAGCACCGGGCGCCTCTTCTTCTGGTGTTGTCTGCCACACTTTCGTGACCCAATCAAACATACTAACATGCCTTAGCTGAAAAAGCACCAGTGCCAGGCCATTTGCACAGGCTGCCGTCATGTCCGCTGCAGTTGGCAGCCAAGCTTCGGGTTTGCAAAGCGCCTGCGGCATACCCACGCTCAAGAATCAACTCGAAACAAGCATTCAGAGGTGGTGTCGGGGACCTGGATGCTGCATCAAAGGACAAACCAGGACACTTGGTATTGGAAAGACTCAGCTTGCAAGCATGGTAGACTCTCACACCCGCAGTAGGTGCGCTGCTCCATTTTGGAATTCAACTGCTGCGCGTGGCGGCGCACGATAGCTAGACCATCCAAGGAAACACAAGTATATCCCCCAGCACCGTGTGCTCACAGTTGCGCCAGCAAAGATATTAGACACGACACCACGCCACTACCGCATACGGCCGCCATGTAGCTCCACCTCCCAGACTCTAACCTCTAAACTCCTCTGCAGCATAAACCACACAATGCCTTGGTGCAGTGCCAGGTGAGGCACCCGTTTCCGTCACAGTCTCGATCTCCAATTCCGTCTGAGAGGCATCGACTACTGAACATCATCATGATAATAAAGCTTCGCCTCAGGACTGAGAGGCTTCAGCATTTTTCTGCAGTCATTGGCCTCTTTGATGTAAACTGTGGGGCAAAGCCGTCGAAACACTGTAAAGACCTGCAGCCGCAGTGGTTTGTGGGGAGCTGCGACAAGCATGGACCCGCTGCGGGCCTTCACCAGGGTCAAGACCCCAAACACACCGATCATCAGAGCACTTCGTAGCATCCGTAGATCATCCTTGCCATTCAATGCCACCCCCATAACCTGGGCGCTCAGGTCCCCCGAATGAATCTCAAACTTATGGACTAGCCTACACTACAATTGTCATGGTTTGCAACACGTTCATGGCAAGAGGCCCTGCCAGGTTGAGCTCCGAGCTTCGTGGCACCTGCATTCGAATTTCCACCCCACATGAGTCTGCACAGGCTAGGCCTCGCGGCGAGAAGCTAGAGCAGCCGGATGTCTGACAGCAAGTACCATCAAACGGTATCCCGTGCGATCTCTCTAGAATCTGCGCCGAGGGGAAGTACGGGTTTCACATTGAAATGGATCACAACCGATGCCTAATCGATTCCACATGCTGTTTCCAACCCATCCTCATGCATTCAGTTACCCTCCACCCGAAGCCGAGGTACCATCTTTGCCCAGCGATCTTTCGATCTGCTGCAGCTCCCACTGCAATGCATCTTGCAAGGTCTGTGCCTTTACAGTCAAACAGTCACAGAATCAGTCTGCGAACATGGAGGTCTGAGGTGTGTTGACAAGTGTGAGATGCCAAAAAGTGGCAAGGTCATCGCTGGCTGACGATGAGGGTGATTTCTCATCTGGGGAAGTGCCGGACCTTCGAGTACAAACATGCTAGCTTGAGATGGTCACAATGTCTCGGCGTCTTTGGCAAATGCAAGCATCCAGCCCCGTGATCAGAAATTCGCTGTGCAAAGCCAGTGTTGGAAAACAAGCGGCTTGTCTGTGGAATTATGCAGGGCGGCTTTCCTGCAAAGTTTGCATGTGGCTGCAGCAACGGGACAGGCACGTACGCAATTGTCCTCTGCAGGTGCTGGCGCATCGCCATCAGCGAGGGTGCCTCCGGGTCAGGGAGAACCGAATGCCGGAATCAGCAACTGAGCATGCCATGGTGGAGCAGTCAAAAAGTTCTTACACGTCACCCTCGATCCGTCAACATATGCGCGCATGTGTGCAACACCCCGTCAAGTTCAGGCCCTTGCCTTGTGGGCATGCCGAGTGCCCAGCCAGCACACAGTAGAAGCCCAACATTTGAACTTGAACATCAGTACCCCCGCTACCCTAAACCTAGGAAGAGGGAAAGCTACATAGAACCTACGCATTCGAACATGCTGCCAGGTTGCTGCACGAATAGCTGCCTGCGAGTTGGTCACGCAGAAGCCTTCATTCTTGCAAGGCGCGCTGCCAGAGGCAAGAGCTGCAGAGGCCACGCCTTGGTTCCAAGTCAAGACGTGGTCCATTTTTGGGAGCAGGATTAAAGCACAACCTCCAAAGGCTTAGGCTGCTGCATGCTGCCAGAGAGATTTTGGCAGTTTGCCACGAGGTGAAGCGCATGTGGCCCGAGATTTTTCGTAAGCGGATTCAGGTAGTCAGGGTAAAATGGAGGAGGCGTGAGTCTGAGCCATCAGGCCTGAACCCAACAGCTGCAAGGAATCAGCACTTCTCCTCAAGGTTATGCAGCTTATGTGGTGTACATTTGCCATTTGTTGTCGGGGCTACTGGTCATAGAAAAATGGGTTGGCGTGCTATCGTCTTCCAGGTTTCGGGGTATCTGTTGACGTTAGCGGGCGTGTTATTGTTGTCCAATCAATCAGAAGCGCTCCATTTCGAATCCATTGTCCATCCTTTACATATCTCCGATGGCCAATAAAAAACCACGCGCCATGTGGATGAAATCATTCAGATGAAGTGTTTAACCCCCATATATACCCCATTATAATGTAGTAGTTGCCATTCTCTTTTCCATTATCCCTATACAACCCAAATATATTCCCGTAGAAGTCCCTATATAACCCATTGTCAATGCCGAGGGCCAAGCTCGTTCTTCCTCCGGTCTTTGTCCCTCCAGGCACTTCTGCAGGGCCTGGACCTTGAATCTTTGTTTGCTTCACCCTGGCTGGCTTGCATCATTTTCTTGTCGAAGGTACTGCGTATGGTCTCTGATACTCTTGGCCTTAAAAACACGCGTCAGCAGCAAAACTCGCCATTTGAGGTAATGGCTAAAGTGGCCAAAAAAGGCAAGCTGACGCATGACACCAAATCATTGCTCCCACACATGGTCTTCACTTCTGCTGCGGCTTTCCTGCTACTTCTATGCGGGCATGTGACGTCTCAGAAGTGCCTTTTGGCACAGGATCAGCAGCATAGGCAGTTGCAAAGTTGTCTTTGCACGGGCGTGTTTCTCGGCAAAGTCTAGAGTGAGGGAAAGATGAGCTTGCCTCCATGTACTCAAAGCATTGCTGAGCCCCGTGCCAATGTGTCCAGCAAGCCTGCTTCAAAGTACCTGACCAGAAGATTCCGCATGAAGGATGCAAGGTCTACGGACACTTCATTTGCTTCTTCAGCAGCGCAGAACTCACAAACAGCAAATATTCGAGAGTATTGCTGCGCATCGCTAATTTGGGGGTCTACATAGTGCTCAGTGCCTTGCCAGATCCATGGACGCTCCGCATCTTGGAATGTGAAACTGAATGGATGCTGATAAGTTGAGGGGGCCCTATCGTTCCACCAGGGTTCAACAGATAAATCTATCTCTACCTTATCGTGGCTTATACGCAATCATCAAGAGGTCGCACACTTGCCGAACAGGTCCAACAGAGCAAGGTGTGGGCACATGTGTTCTGGGCTTCAGGGATCTAAGGGGTCTGCCGGGGTAGCTTCATTCACATAGAGATGCCCCAACCAACCTTAATCAGAGAGCCAGCTTCTACTGATTCTGCTTCGTGTTCGTGAGCTTTTAATTGGGGAAGCAACGTTCGCTTATGGCCCTAAAGATGGCCAAGGCACTCGCAACGGCTCATACATTTCCGATATTTTGATCAGCATTCCGTCAATCTTCCGAGGCAGTCCAGAGTCCACTGGGGATGCAGAAACTCAGATTCGCAGCATTCCTATAGCAAGGGATCCAGGTTCCCTCAGATTTCCCCAGCCTATCCAGCCAAAAAGCATAGAATGAGCAGATGTTCATCAAGACTTCCATCTATCCAAGCAGGTCCTAATCTTGAGAGCTACTGAACTCCCTCCAAGAAATCAAACAAGAGCGCCTGGGCAGCGACTCTGCCCAGTTGCGCCGCCAAAGGTTGCGGAGGCGGGTTGCCTTGAATGGGACTGCTTTGCGACAGACATGTTGCGCCGGTAGCTGAGGCAAAAAGAGCGCAATATCACACGTTCCGTCTGCGCATGAGCTACACATTAGCTGGAGCACTGGAGAGCAAGGAGTTATGACAATACAGCGCAGAACTTCAACTCAACCATCTAAGCTCAAAACGCCAAGCTTACAAACCGCCGGGTCAGCGAGAGCCTGGCGCCGGGAAAGCTGCAGAAGCGAACTGGCAACCTGGAACCGAACTGAACCAAACATGGACCAAACCGCCCGAACTGGAACAAAAAGCCGCAAAGGACAAACCGGAACCATCAAACAAACACAACGGAGAAACCCTTTTCGCAACCTGCACCAAAACATGCCTTCAAATCAGCACCATCTCGTGCAGCTGGGCTGCACCACGGCCCTACTAATCCTCTACACCACACTTTAGCTCTTACCGTAGCTGTAGCTCGTACTACCTCTGCTTGCTTGTACGAGTACTACTTACTTGTACTTGGCATGATTCACTTTTTCTTGTCGGATCTCTAAAATAATCGGGCTCGGATATAGAATTACTTAAAATGGTTTGCCAGGAGCCCTTGTTCATCAAGAGCGCGGATTTGCGCAGCCTGCTGGCCTGTGATTTGGACACAGAAAAGCGAAATTGTAAGACGTGACGCGCCGAGCGAAATCTCAACGGATCCTGATAATCCCGAGCCGCAGCGTCCCCCAAGAACATGGCCTAGTTTGCTGGACTCCAAGCGCAGAACCTGCTACGCTTAGAACCAACTCAGCAAAAGATAAGCTCCGAGCATCCCGTAACAATGAAGAAAGCCAGAACTGCAGGTGATGCAGCCTCTAAGTCGGAGCGAATGGACTCTTCAACCACGTGCCCTAGGGTTGGGTCCTGAGCTCTTCCACATGCTAACATGCTGTGTGCCACATTCACGTCCCTTGGGCATGTAGATGGGAGCTAGGATCTAAGACGTCGGCATGGGCACACTTCTCGCAGAGGTCGAAACCACTAGTGGCGCATCGAAACGTGACGGTGTAGACCTGGAAACGGTCACAAACCCAAAGCATAGGATGATCCAAGCGCTGTGCATGAAATCCTTGGGACGCCGCGTTCGTTTGATGAAAATCTGTTTGGCCTCAACTAGATTGTTCAGCTAGATCTTGTGAAACCATGAGATAAAGCTGGTTACGCGACGCGCCGTGATTCGACGAAGCACTGAGCAAGCTGCCACTACGGCACCCGCCAGTGAAGTCACGCCCGTCACACACCCAACCACTGGAAGAGAACCTTGTGCTGGCTAGACCCTGATGCAGCTGCCCAGCGACTTGTCATGCACATAAGCATGTTGAGTTGCGAACATACTCTTTAGCTCATTGGGGTGGACCCACACTTGGCGAACCTCGGCACATCATTTGGGGATGTGTCGGTCATAGCTTGTAGAACTCAGGCACGACTACCTCCACTAGTCATGACCAATCTGAGCATGTGTTTTGAACATGTTTGCTGCGTTGGGGGCAGTGCTGACCGCTTCATCCACGGCCCCAAGGGAATCTGCTTTTTGGCGTGCCTGCAACAGCATACAGCATGTGCACGAAGATGGTTGCATTCCCCACGGTGGTGGAATGGCGGATGGTACTCTTTTTGGCTTGGCCTGCCGAAGTATCCGATCATCCCCACGATACCGACCTTGCCCATGCTTTCAACTTACATTTTCCCCTCAAATGTGTATGCAACTCCAAGTGACTCGCAGGAAGCTGCTTGCAACAAGGGGCATCGATATTGCCCTGATCTTTGTGTGTGTCCAGGAACTTCACCACCTGTGCAACGATGATTGACAACAAACTTTCAAGTAAACAGCAGAACGTCGCAAGACTGGCTTGTCCAGCACTTATGGGCAAGACCTGATCTGATCAACTGGCAACAAAGGCCGAGGCAGCGGCAACATACTTGCCCTCTCTCCATTTAGGCAGCTCCAACTCTATGTCCCTGGATGTGGAGTCTGTCCTTAGTGTTTTTTTACTCCGACACCTGCAACAATCCTAGAAGCTGTGCAGTGCGGCACGCCTGTCAGCAGTGTTAACAGCAAAGCACCTTTTCTTGAGAACCCCATAGAGCACTGCACTAACTTCATCATGCACAATAGTCAAGTACGTCTGACTAGGTTGATTGCGAATATCAGAAAGGACATTTGTGCTTCATGGCCGAGTCCGACCGACATTCAGATGCAATGTTATGGCGCAGAACCTGAACTCGTTTGAGCTACTGGCGTGAAGTACAAGCAGGGGTCAGGAACGCTGCCAGCCTGTTCCTCGCAGGAAGCGATGCAAACAGAATCTTTGCGTAGCACTGAATCCGAAACTGACAAGCCAGCTGAGAGCTCCACGCTGGAACTATAAGTTCTCAAGCCTTGCTGAAACAGTTGCTAGTGAAGCAGCTTCACAAAACAGCCAGCGAATGCATACAACTGACGAAGTGCGCAAACCTGCGCAAACGATCGTGCAAGCCCCGAAGTGTGCACCTTTCACGATCTCCAGCAGCTCCTCTGCGCACATGGAGTCGTACTTCTTCAGGCGCTCGACCTGCTTATTCGCCGTACTGCGCGAACTCCAAATGCTAACCCGTATCTGATAGTATCTGCATTCAAAATTCTTGCTGATTTAAGCTTGCCGCGTCTGGCGCTTGCTCCAGCACCCAAACCTCTCAGCAAGAGCTTCCAAGGATGTGCAAAAACAGCGACAGCAACAACTGAATACCCAGTTCTGGTCAGCATCCCACCGCGCGACCCTCTTATCACTTATCGTGCCCCCTGGCAGGCCTGGCGGGCATGATTTTTGGAACGCGGTTTCTCATTCCAAAATGTTTGAATGACGGGCAGTTCTCATCACCACACCGACCGGGTGGCGTCATCATTGCATGTTCTACTATGTGAACACTGCTACGAAGCGTAACTGCGGCAGTTGCCCGAAGCTGTAAGTTGAAGCGAAGAAACAAAAGGACATACTGAAATGGATATGGCCTAAGGCGGCGTGAATCGATGCTTGTATGAAATACTGCCAGGGCACAAGTCCGCTCTTGACAGGCTCGGTGCATCGCGGACCCGGGCCTGGCGAACTCAATTCTCAAGAGCGAGCTGAAGGGTTCACATGCGTAATGGATTCAATGGCAACGCGCACCACTCACGTAGAAGTGGGTCAGCGTGAAATCATCAGAACACTTCAGAATGAGGTTGAACCTGACCGCGTCATTTTGTTCGTCATGACATGACAACAATAGCTGCACAACATGCATGTGGCACGCCACAGCATTGAGGCTGACGCTTTGTTCCGCTTGAAGAGCAATGAAACGGTTCAAGAAGTGGAACCAACGAATTCCTGACAGCAGCCAACACATGTCATATTCCGTTTTGACAAGGCAGCATTCGCACCATGACCTGAGGATCTGACTTGATGTCGTACTGTCCTTTGCTTTTAAAAGCTCCTCCGTCATAGGAGTGCACCTGCAGAGTGCCGCGTCGCTGTTGGCGCATGTGTGGGGGAAATCTGGTTGGGCCTTGAATTTCTCGTTCAGCAAGCATGGGCTATCAGGCAACACCTCGTGATGCTCAATCACGCTCATCTTGCGCAAGCTGGGCACACATGCCGTACCCCTCGGCCATGAATGGTTTCAGCACAAGACTATCACCACAGCAGAATCAGCTTCCCCATTGAGCCAAGTGGCCGAGGCATCAAATTCCTCGGGCGTAGGCGCCATAATCTTGTACCATCCTCTGAGCCAAGCGCGAAACAAGAATAAACGAGACGACATAAATTCAAGTCGTGCGCATGAAAACGTCTTGATCGCAGTCCGTTTGTCATCTGTCTCCATCATCGTGACAAAATCCATGCTGGTGGCAATTCACCAGCTGCACTGGTTGAATGTTGGGCAATCGCCAAGGTCCAGCTCCAGCCGCCGTGCGGGTTGCCGTGAAACCCAGGGGGTCTGAACTTCGAGAAAAAGTACGAAAATGGAGCACGGCGGAAGGCAGCACACGGTTGTCTTGAGCGATTTCCACCACACGAATTGGACACGAGGACACGCGCCCGCTGAGGGGTTCCAGCGGATCCACACGCAAACCGCTTTCGCTTCAAAAAGCAATGCACCATTTCAGCCGTGCTAAACGATCGGGCTCAATATCGCCAAGCTGCGAGAGGCCACACCTGCCGCGGGATCAGCGCGAAGCCACGCCATGCACACACACTGACTCACGCCGCGTCTTGGTGCAGCGCGTTACGGTCCAAGCAACCCGCAGTTCGGCAGCATGGATGGTTCACAATCCCCTGCTCCGGAAAATATTGTTCCCTCATCCATTTGGGACTGGGTGGAAAGTTGTTTGATTGTTTTTTGTATTTTTTTTTTTTGGAGGGGGACCCGGAATCGATGGATGCCTCACACGAGAGTGCGATTCTGAGGCCAAAAAATTCACGAAAAAAACATGAAAATGAGGGAAAATGATGAAAGGTAATGAAATTTCTGAAAATGATATAAGAATGATGAAAATGATTAAAGAAAATCATATAACAACGATAGAAGGTGAAATCTGGGCCAGACGGGTTTGGCGGGTTTCCCGCAGCGCTCGTTGCCAGCTGCGGTCCATGTGGGCCCAGCGCTGTGCCGGCAGCTGCCTGCTGCACAGCCGCTGCCAACATACCACTCCACCGTCGCGCCCAAGCTGACGTCGCGGCGCGGCGGAGAGCTGGCGGGGCGCGCTGAGCGCGGAGACGGACGAGGTCGTGCAGGAGTCGCTGCGCGCCATCATTCCAGCGCCCGCCCACCTCAGCACCCAGAACTTCCAGACCGCATCATCGTGCATGCGGGCATACGGGGCCACGTCGGGTGGTGGGATGGTGCGCAGGGCATGGTTGGCGCGAGGCGCAGCGCAAAGTGCGAGAAGCAACCATGATTTTTCATCAGTTTCCTCATGCCTCATCATTTCGCACTTTTAGACTTTTCATCATCTCTTTGAAATGATGTCCCGCCGCAGGAGGCAGCCCAAG